TTTAATTTATGAAACTATCAGTATACCTATAAGTGCACTTTTAGTATAGTTGCAGTACAAGCTAAAAATATTGTTGTAAACTAGTTGTGTACTTAAAGTTTACTACTGTTATACTTAAAGTATACTTAAAAGTATACTTTTATATACTAGAAAGTGGGCCAATTTAGTCCCAAGGAGTATTGAAATAGTACACTTACAAGTATACTACTAGTACACTGATATGTGTATACTTGCTACATAAAGTATACTTAAAAATATAGGTTGGGTATAAGGGTATAGGTTGACCTGATGAAACCTAAAGGATTTGTGTATACAGTTAAGAAAGACAGAGAGATATAGAGGTATAGTATGAGCTACGAAGATGGAAAGTACACTGCCCCTCAAAAGTTCGGATTAATTAATTTAATGTTTTGAAAAAAGTTTCTTATTCTCACCAAGGCTGCATTTGCTTGATTAAAAATACAGTAAATATTGTGAAATATTATTATAAATACTGTTTTATATTTAAATATATATTTTAAAATGTAATTTTCAGCATCATTACTCCAGTCTTCAGTGTCAATGATCCTTCAGAAATCATTCTAATATGCTGATTTGCTGCTTTTTTTTTTTTTTGATGAACAGATAATCCAAAAGACCAGCATTTATTTGAAATAGAGATCTTTTGTAACAGTATAAATGTCTTTACTCTCACTTTTAATCAATTTAATGCATCCTTGCTGAATAAAAGTGTTATTTATGTTTTAAAATCTTACTTAAACCCAAACATTTGACCACAAAAATATGAAGCAGCTCAACTGCTTTCAGCATTGATAATAATAAGAAATGCTTCTTGAGCAGCAAATCAGCACGTTAGAAATAATTATGAAGGATCATGTGACACTGAAGACTGGAGTAATGACTGCTGAAAATTCAGCTTTGTTATCACAGGAATAAATCACAGGAATAAATGACATTTTAAAATATGAAATAGAAAACAAAACTTACAAATCGTAATAATATTTTACAATATTGATTTTACTGTACAATATTACTGCTTTTACTGTACTTTTTGATCAAATAAATGCAGCCTTGGTGAGTGTAAGATGCTTCTTTTATTAAAAAAATATATATATTCCAAACTTGACCAGTAGTGAATTATAAAATGAAGAGAAAAAGTCAAATGTAAAAATATAAAATGATGATCACCATGGACGGCCAGAGGAACTGAGCAGAGTATCTGAGCTAACTGAGGAGACACACCCAGAATTAACAACAACACCCCAGCGAGCTGCACTGTGCTCCGGGACCCAGACGAGAGAAGAAGAAACATCATGAAGACATGTTGCAATAAATATCATAAAAGTTAAATCTAGACTAATAATAAGAAATGCTTCTTGAGCAGCAAATCAGCACGTTAGAAATAATTATGAAGGATCATGTGACACTGAAGACTGGAGTAATGACTGCTGAAAATTCAGCTTTGTTATCACAGGAATAAATCACAGGAATAAATGACATTTTAAAATATGAAATAGAAAACAAAACTTACAAATCGTAATAATATTTTACAATATTGATTTTACTGTACAATATTACTGCTTTTACTGTACTTTTTGATCAAATAAATGCAGCCTTGGTGAGTGTAAGATGCTTCTTTTATTAAAAAAAAATATATATTCCAAACTTGACCAGTAGTGAATTATAAAATGAAGAGAAAAAGTCAAATGTAAAAATATAAAATGATGATCACCATGGACGGCCAGAGGAACTGAGCAGAGTATCTGAGCTAACTGAGGAGACACACCCAGAATTAACAACAACACCCCAGCGAGCTGCACTGTGCTCCGGGACCCAGACGAGAGAAGAAGAAACATCATGAAGACATGTTGCAATAAATATCATAAAAGTTAAATCTAGGCAAAGCTAACAGTCACCGCATCAGTACAGTCTCTTACCTGGCTGAGCCCAATAACACATGCATTAGGCACACTGCTGCACAGTCCTACTGGTGCCCCCATCAGGCCAGAGAGCACACTTCCCAGTCCATCCAAACACAGGCCCCTGTTACAGGCATGTGCTGGGGGCACAGGAGCCTTCAGGAGCCTACACAGCCGGAGAGCTAATGCTGGCAGACAGGCCTCCTGCTGCAATGCTTTTTCCAGACAGCAGGGGGAGTGCTGGGGCTGAGAGTACACAAGAAACATAATGCTTAACAAAAACATGTGGAAAGTTACATTTTGGACACACAACTCCACAGCTAATACCTACAAGGCAACTAAAACTGAAAAATCTTTCACATTACCAGGAAGCACCCCATGTTACAATCACAGATAGAAGTACCTACACAGGACGAACACAAAGAGCAGAAACAATATATCTGTTATCGAGTGTGGACCTAAAAAAAAGACCTGCATACAGTGACCCAACAAGTGCATAAATGTCAATGCACCTGTGTTATTTTATGTACATACAAAAACAGATTAAAAGTGATTGCAATAATGGCCTAGAAAAGTTTTAAAAAAAGCATTTATTTGCAGATGCCACATAGTTTTATTTTATACCGAATGCAATATTTATACACTTCTTCACATCTTCAATGTTATTTGATAAAAAAAAAATAAAGACAATAATATTATAAAATATTATTACGATTTAAAATCAGTTTTCTATTTGAATATATATTTAGTATGTAATTTATTCCTGTGATGTAAAGCTTTTCAGTATCATTACTCCAGTCTTCAGTGTCACGTGATCCTTAAATGTCTTCACTGTCACTTTTGATCAATATAACGCACCCTTGTTGAAAAACTATACATTTCTTAAAAAAGAAATCTTACTGACCCAAAACTTTAGAAGGGTAGTGTAAATCTAATTTGAAATATATTCCAGCAACCATGAATCTAGGTTCATGTACATTTCTACATATACGTTGTAACATGTATATTTATAAATTAACATAAATAAATGCTTTAAAAAATACATCAAATTGGATATTGTAATTCATACATTTTTAGCTGCACACAAACACCCCCACATCAAAACATTTACACAGCCTTAGATGGATGAGAATAATAACTAGACAGTCAGGCACTGTCTACTTCCACACAGCAGAGAAAAACCAATAAGGATTTCCCAAAAGCAAGATTCCAATACGAGCTTACGATCATTCATAAAAAGCTTTAAACTGTTTCCCATAACCTTGGACAACATTCAACCTCATATTAAATTAAGAACATTTTAGCCAAAGATCGCTGTAACACAAGGCATATCTTCGTTGGGAAACTTTGCCCAGATCAATGATATAATCTTCTTACAGGCAAAACACTGATCTAATGTACTGCAGGTTAAAAGCTGTAAAAGAGCTCGACTACCAGTGCAACACAGGAAATCCCATAAAGCATGACTGAAGGTGTCTGTGTTAGACTAGTTTTGGAAGTGAAAGTAAACTTCTTTTTTGTGCAAAGTCCATCAAAATGTTTGCTCAAAAACAAAACAAATAAATAAATCATTGTTATTTTACTATCCTTTTTGATGATATTTTAAATTTTATTTAAAACAGTAATACCATGGAATATTTTTACTGTTACAATACTGTTACAATAACTGTTTTCTGTTTTAATATATTTTTAAAATGTAATTTTTTCCTGTGATGGCAAAGCTGAATTTTCAGCAGTCATTACTCCAGTCTTCAGTGTCACATGATCCTTCAGAAATCATTCTAATATGCTGATTTGGTGTTCAAGAAACATTTCTATTAATTTTAGTTTAATTTATATACCATTATATTTTTTGTTAATATTTTGAATTAAATTAAATTTTTTTATATTTTGTGTTTTCACTTTAATTTTAGTTAAAGTTTTAGTAATATTTGGTGTGTTATGTCATTTTTATTATTTCATTTGTGTATAGTTTTTATTCAATTTTATTCATTTGTTTAATAGTTTAGTTTATTTAGTTTTAGTTATTTTAGTTCTTCAATGAAAATTAACAATTTTGCCTTGGCAACTAGCTGACATATAATAAATTATTTTATTTCAGTTAACATTTATTTTATTTCAAGTAATACATTTTTTAGTTACCTTTTAAAACCCTGAAATAAATAAATAAATAAATAAACTAATTAATTAAGAAATATTGTACTTCAGTTCAAATGTATTTTAATTCAAGTAACAGAAATGTTTAAATGGTTTTAGCTATCAATAAATAAATACATATTTTATTCCAGTTAACACTTATTTTGTCAAGAAACAGAAATGTTTTAAATTGTATTAGTTATCTATAATAACCCTGACAAATTAATGAATAAATAAATATTTTATTCCAGTTAACATTTATTTTATTTCAAGTAACAGAAATGTTTTAAATTTAGTTATCTATAATAACAGTTACAAACAAACAAACAAACTTTGGCTACGCCTTTTTGGTAAGTGGGATCTGACGTTACTATGCGCTACTGTAGAACAATGTGACAATGGAGGGTGGTCTGAATGTTCAGCACCACGGACAGCACTGTGCTCTACCTCTCTTAATGGGTGTGCTGGGGCCACAGGCTCCTCTGGTTCAGTGCACTGCCCCCTGCAGGCCACAGCAGTCCCTAACACACAATACAATTTGCACCAATGACTTTTTTTTTTCTTTAGATGGGTTTCATTTGGGTTTGTTAGTATGCTTAATTGGGTAGATAATTAGATTGTCTTTGGCTTCACTTTAATTCTGCCATTCTCACCTGACTGAGCAGAAAGCAGGGCCAAGGCAGGGATCAGAAAGTCCAAAGATGGAGCCAGGATCAATGGCAAACTAAACAGAAGAAACATTGGACTTAACTCTATAGATGCTTTAGTACAACTATATCAGCTTCCATGGAAAGCAACAGGGTAAATGTAATCTTACCGTGATCCAATCCAGCTCTGCAGTAGTGTCGATACACCTGAGTAAAAGAGCACATAGGCCACTGTTCTCTCTTTGTCTACGTCCTGAATGAGTGTATCCACAACCAGCACACACAGAGAGTACAGTACCAACACATGCTGCATGGAGACAGAGAACAAAACAGACTTTTACTTTTTCTGTTGTTGTGTTCAATGTTTAATCTGAGAACTTTACGTTTATGTACTTCATTATGACTCATTATGAAATATGAAAGTATATTCTTAAGTAACAAAAAGAGTTAAAGTGCACGCTTTTATTGTATTCTACTGTGTCATATGACTTCATTAACTTGTAAAAGAGATAAGAAATATAAATAAATAAATACTTACTTGGAGTGCAAGGGCAATATTCAGCAACAATGAAGGACTGCAGTTCACATATAGGCTCTCTATTCTTCCAGGCCTTTCTGGGTCCAAAGTTTTCTCGTTACATGTTAACAGTTTCTTACATCTATCAGTCTTTACCATTTTATGCTCCTTTTTCTTTGTCTTTCCTTAAAATACTGTTTGTGCTGTCACTCTTTTTAGTGTTAGCTAAATTATTTATTTCTCTCTCTCTGTTTCCTCCTCATACTATGGCCTTTGACTCAGTTATGCAACATGCAATTTTTTTCATCAACATTACTCCTTTTAATCATTATCTTCCCACTGACTTTAAATAACAGTGGATTACTGCAACAGCTTTGCTTGGGAAGCTGATATGACTTGTGGAGAAATCAGTGATTTTGATTGCCACTGTAAGTCTACTGTTAAACTCACCCCTTTGAAAAGGAAGTGTGCTTAATTGTATTAAATGTGCAATTGCAGTGTACTTCAAATCTTAAACGCACTCTTTAAAAAAATCTGTGCTAATATAGTAATTAAATAAAATGCCACTTAAGTGTACTTAAAGTGTCAGACTTTTGGACCTGTTAATTATCGTTTGTCAAAGACGTACACTTATTGTAATGTGTTGACTAACATAATAAAGCGCATGTAAAGAATCATAATTTTAACTGTAATGTGTAATACAATATTACATTTAAAATTAATATATTTTAAATTTACTGAATTGCAACTTCATTACAAATGGGTAATTACAAATATTTTTGTATTTATATATGACAACATTTTCAGTAGAAATGACATTAAGTACTGTATATTTTAATTTCGGCAGTACACTTTAACCATATTTCAAAGACAATGACCTATAAAAGTATTTAATATATAACACAATCAATTTAATTTCATTAACACAATCACAATTAATGCAATTACATTCAGTTTGCAATTGAATATATTCTTTAAAAGTACATTATTTCTGTAATACTCGATTTTGTGTACATGCATGTAAGATTTTATGTATGTATAGTGTAAAGTAAGTTTCAAATGTTAAGTTGCACATTCAGAAAAAATGTTTAAATTCAGTTTACTGAAACAAAATAAAATATATATTTTTTGCAGCATAGTGTACTTGAATGTGGACAATTTGTGGACCCAAAAGATGAAATATGACAGGACTTTATTAGCATTGGTGAGTCAGCAGGATACAGGACTGTAGAATGACTACACTCATGGCTTATAGTAGTGTAAAGTGGCCCTGGTTTCCCAGGCCACCTCAGCAAGAAAACATCAAGTCACTACACACAGACACACTGCTCATGGATTTAAGCATGCACCTTTCACATTCACACTAATTACAGGTATAGATATGCTTAAGAGAATTTGTATTGTTAGTGACAAAACTCAACAAAACTACACAATGATCACGGCTACATATGCAACAACACAACAACACTAGCAAATATCGTAACTGCGCTCAAATACATGAAGAGGAAGCGTTTGTCCACCCACGAGGACTTTCGATTTAATTAAGAGCTTGCGCGAGAGGTCATTAAAGATGCATTGGCAGCTTAAATAACTCAGTGATCAGTCTCTATACAGATCACATTGATTTCTCAGTACAGGATACAAAAACCAAGAACGCAAACACACACACACTTGCTTCAAAACTGGTGAAGCGTGGCAAGAACTCCCTCCAAGCTTGGGTCACATGACACGTCTAGTTAGCGAGAGATCAGGGGTAGCAAGCAAACCAAACAAAAAGCAAGTGAAGTTCTCATTCAGCACAACAGATGACTGGAGAATCAATATCAGTGTGAGTTCAGTCCTTATAAAAGCTCATATCCTCACTAAACCTGCTTTGCTCTTGCTGCTATGATGGTACATTTTGATCCAAACATGAAAAGACAAGAGTAGCTATACATCAGACCGCAGTTAAAAGCCAGTGTTCATGGCACATAGATAGAATCATTTTAACTCTCATTTGTCTCACAATGTACAAAAATAAAACTATAATTACAGTGTAAGAGGACTGAATTCGTATTATGCATATTCTGAGTCACTTTTGAATGTTGTACTGGATTAAAACTCACACAAGCGAGCGTTAATATCCACTTTCAAATCACAAAATGCCAATATCCAATATTTCCGACATGTCTATGAATACAGTTCATAAAGAAATAAAAATCTATGCAGAGATTATTGCATTTCATGTTAATTAAGAAGGACAGCAATTCTCCTTCACTGAGTAAAACTGTATTTTACTTAATGACCGAGACAAGTACGTGTACATGACTCCATTTACAGAGTGAATTACAATATTAATTACATATTAAAATCTGAAATGGCTTCATCAAAAAGAAAGAAAACAAATTGGTAGACAGTAATACTGTGTAAAGCTAAGGGTGAAAGACAGCACACAGGTTCATATAAATATAACCTGAGCAAGAGTCTGGGGTTAAATATGTCAGCCTCATTAGTGTCAACAATAACTGCATATGGAACGAGTGCATATGTTTTTTGTTTGTAAATGAGAAGCATAAAATACTCCTTTAACGATATTAGTCGGTTTTATTTTGAACTTTTTCGTTTGTTCCTGATTTAAACATGCAGAAATGGTGCTGGTAGATGTTTGACTTTGAGCAGTCAAACTCCATTTGCATGAAGGAGCGCTCAGCTGTTAAACTGTAGGATTATGTAACTGAAGGCTGGAATACTCTACACAACTGTTGTACAGATTCTTGCCCCGATTTGGAGGAGTCGGCACTAGTTGCTGAAAGTCAGAGCCAGTCTGCAGATTTCGGGTAGTAGGAGTTGACAGATTTTACAGAAAAACAAATAAGAGTATAATGGGCACATACTCTGTTGTTTTAGTTTCAGCCTGTGATTCCATCCATTTAGAGGATATTAAACGTTTGATATTTTGAGCCGATTTTAGAACATGGATTGTTTTCATTTGTCATGCGTCTCCTAGAAACAATGAGTTTGTTGTCTTTGGAATAACTTGAAAGTCTGACAGTGTGTGATTCTCAGTCATTCAGTGTTTGATGCCCAGTTTTTCCTCTGTAACCATTCACAAAGTCTGCAAGTGTATAATGCCTAGTGTTTTAAAATCTGTTCAGCTTTTAAGTCGTGTAGTGTATTCCAGCATTGAGAGAGGAATATTATTCACTTTTTTAAAAAGAAATACTGTTTGCTTCCGACTGTGACATAACTATATAGATCATGCAGCTCAAGTAGTGCTCACTATTAAGACTATAGAGACTTGTGAGCTCATTTGGGATATGACTTTAAAACATTTCCACACAAAATGGGACATGGTTAAGAGTAGCTAGTCTAAAAACATTTACAGCAAGGACTTACTCTGGGTATGTTACTAGTTAACAGAATATCATTTATTTTGTCAAAGGTTGATCCAATCTTCTTATACTTGCACCATGACAAATATGAGTCACAGTGAGGACACCCAAAACAATGCAAATACTGACCTGTCAACAACTTTCACAAACATAACCAGCAGATTGCCTGTGGCTGTGCATGTGTTGGTCTAGTACAGTGTTTCTTGTCTGCTTTATTAAGGGAAGCAATAAAGAGTTATATAGAAGGGTTAACAACAGATCAAGCGGATCACAGGCTCTCACATCCTCTGGGTGAAGTTTTCAGGAAAGACTCCTTTTTTCCCTTGATCTTTATGCTGAATCCAGTCGGACTCTCTGACTCCCATCAGCCACCCTTCATCCTGTAAGCACAGAAACTCCGTTAGGTGATCCTAACACCAAGATCTCTTGGGTAAGAACTGGTCGAAACAATCGACTATCGACTAACCTGCTCTTCTGGGTTTCCATAGCTCATTACCAGCACCACATCTCCTGCCTTCAACTCTAACTCATCGGAGTCAGTAGCATTGTAGTCATGCATTGTTTTCACCTATATTCACACAAATACATGTCTCACTTCTTCTGCTTCAAATTGTGATTAAAAGACCAATGATAGTTAAATTAAACCATCATTTTTAACTTACTTTAAACAGGAAGGATTCTGGCATCTCTACACTCTCTGTGCTCTCAGTGCATTCCTGTGCAGTCTGGATTAAGCAATAAATGTAAATACAACAACAGACATAAACGTTATACGTTTTAATGTATTATATGAATAATTAGCATCAAAGCATTGAAGGTTCTCCACTTAGTGCCTGGCAAGCTAATGCTACCCTTTCAAATCTTAAAGGCTGATGAGGGAGTCTGCAGCTGCTCCTTCAGTCCACCAGAGGGAGTGATAATCACCTGATTTTCAGCATACACTACCATTCAAAATACTTTTTAATATTTTTGAAACAAGGGTCCCCAAGGCTGCATTTATTTGATCAAAAACACAGTAAAAACAGTACTATTGTGAACTATTATTACAATTTAAAATAACTGTTTTCTATTTTAATATTTATTTCTGTGATGACAAAGAAGAATTTTCAGCTCCAGTCTTCAGAAATGATGATCACGATCCTTCAGAAATCATTCTATTATACTGATCTGCTGTTCAAGAAACATGTCTTATTATTATCATTGTTGAAAACTGTGATAGATTTGCTTTTCCAAATTCGATTCTTTGATTATCAGAAACTTCGATAGAACAGTATCGGAAAAAGAAAGCGTTTACAACATTCAGTGTCTTAACTGTCACTTTTGATCAGCTTAATGCGTCTTTGCTGAACAAAATTATATTTCTTTAAAAAAATAATAAAATTAATTTTTTGAACGGTAGTATATGTTGATGCAAAGTTTGAGTCACCTATAGACTTCCTGTATGTCCTTTAGGCTCTTGCTTTGGGTTTGATTATCAGATTTTCACTTTTGGATCATATGCTATGCCATCACTTACTTCAGTTTCAGCTACCGCCTCTTCTGTAACAGCTGCCTTTTCTGTGGCCTGCAAAAGGGAAAGACCGGGAGATAAAGGAGAGCCAATACAGATTGAGGAATCAAAGGTAGAAATACCAAGAGAGAGCCAAGAATTGAAAGAGAGAACAAAAAGATGCAAATTACACAGCTATCCTCATAACATAGCAAGTCCAGCTGTTGCTGTTACTACTTCTACAACTACTGCTACTAGCACTTCTACCAGCATTCTCCCAATTGCCATGCTAAGCATCTTTTCGCTCCCATCCAGAGGTTCCTACAGGAGCACGACCTCAATATAGCACAGCTCAGCTCCTGTCAGCTTGCTCTATGAGATTTGTACCTGAGCCCCATCATCGTCACACCCCTGGGCCTGCTGGGTAGAATCATTGACATTCCCCTGCACAGGCTGAGAGCCATCATCATCCCAGCTGGGGAATGCGGCCGGAGCACGCACAGGTTGGCTACCGTCATCATCCCAGGTAGCCTGGGTACCATCATCACCCCAGCCAGAGTGCACAGGCTGGGTATCATCATCGTCCCATGTCTGAGGCACCTCAGCTTCATTCTGTGATTGCTACATGTGCCAGGGAGGTGGGTAGGTATGGTGGAATGGTGGGGAAGGGGGCATGTGGGAGCCGGAGAAAAGCATGACCAGGGATCATTCAGAGTGGAGAAAGAATGAGAAGCCAGAGAGAGTGTGAAACACAGATGAGCATTTCTGCAGCTGAACACAATACTGGAGGTCATCTAGCCTCTACGGAATGACGTGGGACGTGCAACATAAATATCGTGGACAGTTACTAAAGCAGGACAGACAGACATTTACAATCTTTATGCAGGAAAGCTTTGCAGTGAAAAGAAATTTAATGGAATAGCTTTTTTGCAACTGTTTGACAAGGGCAGAATGAGTTCCCTAACCATTAAATATATTGAATGATATTAGCCAAATTATTCAAAATAGTGTAGGAAAGGTTGTGTAGTGTAGTGTAAAAGGAAAGGTTATGTATGCTGATATACATTGCAACTTTGAGCAAACATAAAAGCACACTCACCTCCCATGAATCCCAAGTCTGTCAAAATGCACAAAAACAAAGCAAAATGAGTGACTGGACAAAACAGATTTGTCAAATTGATTAAGAGGCATTTACACTGATGTTACATTGCATGAATATATTTTGAATATGTTATAATGCATAAATTAAACATTCAAGTGTTGTAGTCCTCAAGTCTGGACAAGACCAAACTCAGACTCAAGTCCATCTCAAGGCTGAATCTCTGACCAAATTCTCAGGAGCATTTGAACATGGCATAGACTCAATATACTCAATATATTCAATACTCAATATGGTCTTGGACTCGGACTTGAGTCTATGCTTGCCTGGACTCATGTACTACAACACTGCTATAAGCAAAATTGAATAAAAGTTTAATTAAAACTATGAAATACTTAGTTCTTCTAATTCTGACAGACCTGTGCGGCTGGTGTGGTGGCAGCCTGAAGTGAGTCCAGATCCATATCCAGCAGATTAGCAGTGGCTGGAGCATCATACTGACAAAAAGAAGAAAATATACTTTTTTCATTTTTGGTTTTATAACTCCAGTGAGCATTTCACATCATCAAGTGACTGATTTTACTTGTCGTGGGCAGAAAGATTACAGCACACAAACAGAGCTCCTCACATGGAGCATCTTTACTAAAGGTTTGATCACATTAGCGAAATTCCAGTGAAATTTTGCAGGAAAAAAGCTCCATTGTAACTTTTAAACTGAGAAGATTTCTGTTGGTCAATGTGCAGGGAATTCGTTTTACTGACTTCAGCCCGTTGCTAAATCTGAGTGGGGAAATCTTCAAAATTCCAGATTACGTGGATTCCTATTGATATGACTGGATTTTACCCATGAAAATTTGCAGAACAACAGTATATGTGACCGCACCTTAACAGTTGATTACAATAGTTTTACACTAGCATACTGCTAGGGTAACAACTTTCTAAGTACTGCTTAAAATATTATTGATGATTACTGATGTAATGTAAAAATTTATCTATCACGCAAAACATTTTTATGGTTGTCATTCAGAATTGAATTAAGAATGCCTTTTTTAAATTTTGAATCCTGAATTTGAAAAGTAGCCAAAAAGAAGAACTGTAATTTGAATTTAAGGAAGTAGAATTCAAATGGATTTAAAAAGAAAGAAATTTATATTCTATGTGAAGTGTTGTTTTTACTTTTCAGTATTAATTACTACCTGCAATAATTATTACATGCAACATTTCCATTCCATCCATAGAAATGTAATTCATATTTAATAAATGAACTTTCAATTTTACAATTTACCCTAAAGTCTTCAAAGTGGAGCCAAACAACAAGCGGGCTTAAAAGATGGAAACTTTTAAAAGAACACCTGATAAGTCGCCTGCTGTTGCCCATTTTCTTCATACCAATAACATGTATTGAATTTTAATTCAGTAACCCCCTCATTCCAACTTAGATACAACATCCTGCTATTCAAATTCCAACTTGTGAAGTGGCAGGGAGTCAGTTTTCAAACTGTGTATTTTAGCCAACGCTGGTGTATTTATAAGTAGCATCTTCATTCCTGAAGACGAGGGATACAGGAGAAGAAAGTACTGCTGACCTGTGTTGGCGAAGTGACACTGATGTTTGGAGTGGCAGCCTCACCAAACAGATTGATAATGTTCTCCTGCTTCATATCCTTTGATGGAGTAACTTTAGGAGGTGGAGGAACCGCAGGCTTTAACTGGAAACACACATAAATATGAACTGGGGTTTCATATTTCAGAGAAATCACTGCAATATTGAGAAATCATGGCAATTACTAATTTTTGCTCAGCTTTTTTTTTCTCAAGACGCAGGGCTGTGTTATTGTCCATGGCAAATACATGTTGATTTCTAAATGCATACCTTGGACGGAGATTTGGGAATGGCTGGCGGTCCTCCTGGGCTCAACGTGTGATTGGCATCTTGTGTTCTGTCACTGGAGCATAAAGTACAGATGATGATATACAGTACCATGGCTATGAAGAGCCCCTCTGTGTCATGCTTTGATTAGGCTCAACCCAAGCACCAATACTTCACACTGCAAGCCTTAGTCTTAGATGACCAGTGTGACCAAAAGCCTATCTAGGATACTTACAAGCCAGAACTGACATACTGTAACTAGTAGGACAGTATCAAACTTAACAGTTATTCATGCAGACACAGTTACTTCCAGTGCAAAATCGTTCTGCTCATGCAGTGAACTCAAACGCACTGTGAAGCCATCATCTAAAACACACAATTTTAGAATGCAAAAATTATTGCTGGAAATTATTACTGCATAGCAACTACAGTTTCAGTGCTGCAGACGGACTGCACAAGACAAACCATTGTCTAGTTGGGCAGCACTTGAGGGCACGCAAAAAGCTTTAGTACAGAATGCAGAGACACACGCGCACACAGCACTGTAGGGCTACCGCGGTTACCTCTTCTGGGCTGTTGATGTCCTCACCCCTTGGCTACCTGTTTTTCTGTGAGAGTGGTGTTGGGGTTTGTTCATTTACTTAATTGTATAAACTGTATGTAATTATACCAATACTAATTATTGCCATATGCACAATTTAGACACCATTTTGAGGCAGAATGGATAAAAATGAACCAGCATGGTACAATAATACAATTCAGTACTTATAAATGAAACACTATGTATGTATGCTGCTTATAAATTTGACTAACCTGGACATATCTTGATTTTCTAATTTCTCCAGCGTATCATTCAGATTCTGATTAATCTGTAAGAGAAAGGTTACAGAAAGAGAGCTGGGTAGTAACTGATTACGTCATCTGGATTACGTAATCAGATTGAAAAAATTAAGTACTTGTTATTAGATTTAAATACATTTTAAAATACTTGTAATCAGACTACAGTTACTTTTTTATTGATTGCATGATTACATAGTATTCACACAATAGCAGTAAATTGTTCAGAATTTATTGATTCTCCATAATTCTTCTTTTTCATCTTTTAAATGTTCCTTTCTAAAATAGCCTACTGCTTATATACATTCAGAAAGTCTTCCAGTTTTGTGAACATTCACACAAAGACCAGTCATTAGTCAGGTGATTATCTGATGTACTCAGTAGGTTAACCATGCAATTCTGTCTTTCAAACACATTCAAATGTACAAATTCTCATTATTTCTTATTTACATGTAATGCAAGGATTCCCAAACTTCTGAAAATCTTTCATCTAATATATTTACTTGCAGTACCACTGAGATTTTAAAATAAATATTTTAATAATTAAGTATCACATTTACATATTCACCATTCTCTGACCTTGGCTAATGGTCACATGACATGCAGGTAAACAAATAAAATATTTCTTTTTTTTTTTTAGTAAGTGTTTTATTTTGATTGATTTTATTTAAAAATTATTTATTTTAATTTTACATTTTTAGAATTGTATTACTATGGTACAAGATTATCCTATTCAAATCAATGTGATAAACAAGTTAGGTCAAAAGTAATCAAAAAATAGTCTGATTCTATTACCTAAAATGTGTACTGTAATGGATTATGTTACTAACTACAATTTGTCATATATATATATATATATATATATATTGTATATACACATACATTCACCAGAATATTTACTTCTAATTAAATTACAACTTATATACAAAACATAACCATAAAGTTCTGTCAGTTGATGGTGTTGTGCTGGAGTCCTTACTTTTCCCATTTCTCTGTGAAACTTCTCCTCCAGACCAGCCATACTCTGGAATGTATTCACATAAAAGCCAACACGACTGGAAGAGAGCAAACACAATCTTAGCCCTCCATAAGATGACAACAGATCTCAGTCTAAGATGGTACACCCATGGACCATTTATGACCCATCTGGTGCATATTGCACACAAAAATGGCAAGAGTCATGAATCAGATTCTCAGGCTTCTACATAATTTCTGAGAATCAGGGTGTACAGGTACTGTATTTTACAAAGTGGCAAATACAGAGGCTCATGGCACTGAATCTGTGAAATAGACTTTTGTTTGAGGCACCTGCTCTTAGCAATTAAACTGCATATTTATTATTTAAAAGCAGATGCATTTTCCACTAATGTCTTTGATGTTGTCTGTAAAACAGAGACTGTTGTGCAATAATTTGATTGTATTACTGCATTGTTAAACACCAGTCTATTATTATTGTTGATTTTACATTTATCCGCCCATACATTTCACATAAAGAAAATGAACGGTTACAGGTTGTTTTACATGACAGTCAGAGTCAAGTTCTTCCTGTCTAAGTATATATAGCCAATTTTTTTTGCCAGAGTAAGCTAGCAGTCAAATGTCTGTTATTTATTTACTTGTTTATATAAAAAAACATCTGTGAGAGTAAACACAGAGAAGATCAGTGAAAGTAAGACAGTAAATAAATCCAGACCTGTTCCACAGAGATGGCAGTTCCTCCTGCAAATCTATATTAATCTCCTCAAACACTTTCTGCGCCCTCTCCAGCTCTTCCTCTGCCTATAAACATAAAATTACATTATCACATGACATGGAGTTCAATAATCTCATTCACCCACGAGACGAAACTCAAACGGGTTTGGAACAACTCGAGGGTACATAAATGATGACCGAATTCTGGTGAACTATCGCTTTAAAGCAGCACTATGTAACTTTTGGCGCTCTAGCGGTTAATAAACAGAACTGCACACATCCCGCGGAAGAACATTCCAACCGGAGCTACTTCTCTAAGTTTATGTCTATGGCGATTCACGCAGGTATGTGTTACTCCGCAGCGGTGACGACCCGACCAGGCTACAATAATGCAACGCAACGCGTGAAAAGACAGTATAAGTCATTATAATCTGTAATTATGTCCCCACTGGATGCAACAAATGCCTCGTTTGTAATGGGTTTTAATGTTTTTGCCTCGTCGCTCCGGCCGGACACGGCATCAACAGTATGTGAGGGGCGTAACATTTCCGTCTCAGGCTTGAGGTATTCGGCCAATCACAACGCATTGGATAGCTGGCCAATCACAGCACACCTCGCTTTTCAGAACGATGAGCTTTGTAAAAATCGACGCGTTTCAGAAGGCGGGGCATACAGGAGAAACAATAATGTACAGTATGTGGAAAATAATGTGTTTTTTTAACTTTAAACCGCATAAACACATTTCATTACACCAAATACACAAAATAATGTTCTTTTTAGCAGTATCATATGACCCCTTTAAGTTATAGTGTGTCACCTGACTCCTGGTGAGGTTGGTTTGAGCCACGTTATGGGCAGACAGGATCCCCTGTGCCCAGCCTGGGGCGGCCCTCTCCAGCAGGGAAGCTGGCTACATAGAGGAAAAAAAAAATAATAATACATGAAACATAAATCTTCCTCAATATGAACTGATTGTAGAAACATTAAAACAACATCAAAACTAAGGCTGTACCTTGGTGATCTTGATCCCCTCCTTTTTCTTGCCTTTGTTTACCGCAGCATAGTTGTGTCTTGCACTGTCATAGTCCACCAGCTTCCTGTCACGCTTTGCAATACGGACCTGGAAAGAATTATACAGACATTCAACAGAAAATCACAGCATGATATGCTAAACTTACAGCATCGTCATGGGATCTTAGTACTTTGATGTCAGGAAACTGGCCCAGGTAAGTGTCCATGGATATAAGCGCATGATCCACAAGTTTCTGATGGAAGTCTGTCCAAAGGATGTCTGAATCCTGTTATACACACACAACAATAGATACAAAAAAATCAGGATGGTGCAAAACCATCTTAAATACATTAAATACACATCCACACACATTCACAGAGACATGTACTGTATCTATAGGGACAACTACAGAGCAGCTGGATCCTTAAGAGTTGTAAAAATATTTAGGCTAATTCTAGTGTCACTTCTTGTGTGGTTAAATAATACTTTCTTGTGGTTACTGCTGAAAAACCATATAGCATTTACATGTTTATAAACTAGCTATGAGAATAAACAATGAGTCAAAAACTAAATTATAATCAAAACCCCTTGCATTACCTCCCATCTGTTTCCTCACTCCTAACATTCCTTTCAAAGAAAGCAGAAATCAAGTAAAAATGGTGGACACGTAGAATGGACACACATACACTACTGTTCAAATGCTTGGGGTCAGTAAGATATTTTAAAAAAAGGAAAAGGAAATGAATACTTTTATTCAGCTAGGACACATTAAATTGATCAAAAGTGAGAGTAAAGAACCCTGAAAAAAATGTATCACTATTTCCACAAAACTTTTAAGCAGTACAACTGGTTTTAACATTGATAACAAGAAATGTTTCAGCAAATTAGCATATTATAATGATTTCTAATCACCTGAATCACTTAAGTCTGGAGTAATGGCTGCTAAAATTAAGCCTTGCCTTCACAGAAATAAATTACATTTTAATATATATTTAAAGAGAAAATAGTTCAGGTTTTTTTTTATTGTAATAATATTTCACAATATTATTGTTTTCTGTATTTTTAATCATTTACATACAGCCTTGGCGAGCATAAGAGACTTCTTTCAAAACATTAAAAAAATCTTACCAATCCCAAACTTTTAACGGTAGTGTAATATGTAATAAAAGCATGGTGAAATGACAGATGGGTGTGAATTAAAAACAATAAAATGGAAAGGAGAAAAGCTGTAGGGGATACCTTGTGCCATATCTGCCCTCAATTAAAGTGTTCAAGGAATTTTATGTCATTCTTGATCATCTGGTTTACTCTTTACTTAAAAAAAAAACCCATGAAATTGCTTGGTGAGTGCAAGTTTCTGTCCTGTGTTGAAATTATTTCCTTTTGAAATATAAAACTGAGGCGAGACACAAATAGTCATTTGGCAAAGATCTGCTACTTGCTAGTCAGCTGTAAATGATATTGGAGAAAAATATTTTTGTCTGAATGTATACTTTATAAATTCAGACAAAAACAACACATTTTCTCATATGAAAAAGGGGGTTCAATTTACTCTTGAATTACTGTGAGAGTCTAAAACACATTTTACTGACATTGACTTAAGTATAAAATAACCTCAAAGAGAGAGTCCACATCCTTTCTGCCATACCAGTCAGACTCATACATGTCATCCAGGCACTCGTACAGATGTTTAGAAGACTCATGCATGGCTGGGGGAAACCACGAGAAAGAGATCAGCAAGGCTAAGAAAACAACATATTTAATTCATGCTGCATTTAGGTGTGTAAATTTGTCAATCGATAATCTCACCTTTCACAGCAGACAAATAGGCCCGAAGGTCTTTCTGCAGTTTGGTACCCTCAACCTATGTGAGCACATGACACAAAATTGAAACAGAGAGTCATAGACCAAGAGGATAAAACCAGAACAGATTCCCGATGCTTACACTGTTTCAGATGAACATTTGAAAAAATAATGAGTTCGGAAAAAAAAAAAAAAACTTACCAGCTGTTTGTTGAAGTTGATCACACCCTCTTCGAATGCCAGATCTTTAGTCTCGTCTGCCTTGCCAAGCTTTTGAAGAACCTGAGAGAAGATGGTTGCATTATTGACCACATTACTTATATATTTAAAAAACAATTATAGTGGTTTGTTACATTTCCAGTTTTGGTAGTTGTGTACTTCATGTTACTGAAATACTAAATGAACAAGAAAGTGTTGTTCTTCAATGTGCAATGACAAACCAGAACTTTTATACAGAGAGAGCGTCCTTGCATCGATGAGAACGCCATAGGTTAAACCTGGATATCTGCATTATCCTGTAAATGTGTGTCTACAACATAAAAGACCGCTGCTCCTTAGAAAACAACAGCACAAGATTCAAATCAACCTCCTGTAGCTGCACAGATGACCATAGAGACAATCTAAGTGGGACTATATTTATTAAATGCTGTACAGATATTATTGATAAATTGTCAATGCCGTATCTATTGCTCAAAAACCATGAAATCTCTCATTTCCATAGCCTTATTCAGTGACAGCTGGTGTTGAGAACCCAAACATCGTTCTAAAGGAAACACACAATCAATAGTCAGAAAAGCCAGATGGTGTCATTTAATCCCACTGGTAACATTTATGACCACAATTTACTTTTTAGTTTGAAGAGTCTAAAAAAGCTGTTGGTGAATTGTACATAAAGTTGTCAAAAGTCAGGCTGCAGCAATTAAAAGAGATGAAGGATGATGGGCAGCAGTGAGCGATGCAGCTGCTCATTTACTGTGGTGAAGGGAAGTCTTACTCATTTCCGAGAATCGGTTCTTTAGAACAATTCGTTCGAAGAACCGGTTAAAACAACGTAATTGCGTCATCATGTGGCTCCTGCCATTCCAACGTGATGTTCTAAAATATTCCAATATGCACGCTCATATTTATGTTTATTACATTAATAATTGCTTTAGTTTATTGTAATTCCTCAGTTTAGTTTGTAGTAGCCATTACTAAACTTATAAAAAAAACTTCCAACTTATACTAGGCTATTCTACCTATATACTTTTCAACTCGATTCTAAACGTATTAAAATACTAAAAATCACGTACATCACACAGTTCTCGTGTGACAAATCGGATATGCATGATAGTGGCGGTTCTCGGGTTAATGAATGAGTGAGCCGATGACTCGTGATCAGATTCGTGAACGAATCGTTTGGACTTGATTTTTTTTAACAGATTCATTAAAAAAAGATCCTATTCAAAAGAACGATTCGTTTACGAATCCGGACATCGCCACCGCGCTCATCTACTGGAAGAGTACAGGTTAATGCAATGGTTCAAAGGCAATAAATGGGTTGATTCAAGCGTGAAACACACAGAGAGCCGATCGTCGTGGTTTTAAAGCGAACGCACAAATCTAGTGTTACAGGTGCAGCTTTCTACTTGTTTCCATAGCAGCCCCACTGCAATGAAATAAACAGCGAGCTTGCGTCTTCAGAATTGTCTTATCCATAACTTTCTTAAAACATCTGCAAATATAGGGGAAGCAAATGCATGTATTTTAGTATTTGCTAGTCTGTATGTGGATGAGTCTCGGCTCTGATACGTTCCGCGTTTTTATACATCACGATAGAAGACGCGACACTGTTTAATTGAGATGTACGGTAGATAACACTGAAATCAGTTTTGAGAGGGATAACGTAATTGATGTATATTGGATTATTAAAGTGTCTTACCTTTTCCTGAGCCCTGGTAATTTTTTTCTGTACATTGCTTGCTATTTTTCCTGCGGAGACCCCTTTCCCCATCGGTAATTCAGCCATTTTTATCCGGATTGTGTTATTTGCCAGTAACGCGTCAAATGAGCATTTGTTACAATATATAATTCAGTACAATAAGTAGTTTTTCGCTCAATGCAGGTGCATTAAATTCTAGGCCTTATAATAACACTCGCCCCTGGAATAGAATAAACCTGCACAAGCGCACACGATACAGATGGTCGTTCACCAATGACAATAGCGCAGTCTTAAAGAGACAGTAAACTATTTTTCATTTCACACCAACGAGGCCGCAACCCATTATTTTAGGCCTGTTGTCGAATTTTACAGTGAAATGTGTAATAGAAATATACTTGTTATATTGTAATACAATACGTTGTATTGACCACCTGAATTACTGAAATGGATTCAAAACTACTACTTCAAGCTATGCCATAAACAATCATAAATACGGAACTCAATGATTTGCGTCAGTAGTCTATTTAAATCAAGTTACATGTGCTTTAAATACATTAAAAAAGGAAGAAAAAAGGAAAATAAATGTTTGTGGGTTGTGCATGGGTCAGCCTGATTTGCGGATTGGCATGAACAGAACTTCATGGTTCTGTTTCTCCACAAAATCTCCATCACATTTCAGCAGATGGTTCTGATTTATTTGTGGTACACAGCCAGCCTCTTAGTGGTTCATGGATCAAACATTTATTGGAGCACCAGAATTAGGCAGTCCAGGGCATTTGATAGTTTGTGGTGAGACCTCAAAGCACAGCCTCTAGGGAAGCTGCAAGTGATGTAATTACTATTTCAAAACCAATAGTCATCGGTTGCATGCACAACAATGGAAACAAAAAGGAAAATATTCATATTTAAGATGAAACATACACTAAATATACCAAATATTGGTGTATTTGTACTGTGACAAAAATAAAAATTTTGGTGGCTAAGTGAACTCACCTAGATTTTATCATATACTTCATGTGTCTATGCATTTTAAAATCACTTAAATCATGCAAAGATGCACATGTAACCTAGAATGCAATATGTATATATATATATAATCCTGATGTTTCTACAAAATATAACTGGCTGCTGAGGTTTCCGGAATGATTCTGTAAAAAAAACAAAAAAAAACTTTTAAACCATCCATGCATAGACAGTAAGGGAACTGACACGTTCAAGGCCCAGAAACATCGTGGTACTCTCGTGAATGGCGGAAGAGACTGACATGGAAGAGAAGAATTGTTGAAGTCGTTATTTTTGTTTTCTTTGCGCACAAAATGTATTATCGTAGCTTCATAAAATTACGGTTGAACCACTGATGTCACATGGACTATTTTAACAATGTCCTTACTGCCTTTCTGGGCCTTGAACGTGGTAGTTGTGTTGCTGTCTATGCAGGGTCAGAAAGCCCTCGGATTTACTCAAAAATATCTTAATTTGTGTTTTGAAGATGAACGAAGGTCTTACGGGTTTTGAACGACATGAGGGTGAGTAATTAATGACAGAATTTTTGCGTGAAGTATCCCTTTAAGGAATGTATTCTAACGTGCATTGTCTCATTTAACCTATCCCGCAGCAGTTTCAAAGTATCACCAGCAGAGGGGGGACTTTGCACGCGTAACTGTTCAGAGTATGCTTTTCATAGACAATTATTTGTCTATAATGACGTTAAAAGTAATATTTCCACACTAAGCAATTTTGCCCAAATTGTAACGTGTAATACAAAGCTAGTCAAACTTGTTTAACAAGGAGACAACGGTGTCCGGGCCATATGTGAAGAAAACAAAATAAAAAGAAAAAATTATTTTGTGCAGTAAGTGTGAAAATATTGAGTAAAACGGTTTGCTTTAGCGTCTGTTTTATGTGCGATCTTACTTCATTTATCTGCTACAAAATAAAGGTTGAAATACACTACTAATCCCTAACACTAGGGCGATAGTGCTTCATATCTGACCCTGTTGAAATAAGTAGAGCAAGTTCATCTGTTGCAACCAGATGCTGAAAACCTGAACGGTGTGCTATAGATCGCACCAGCAACAGCCATCCCCTGCACAGATTAACAGAAACGGTATGCTCTGTATATATACAAAGGTTTTTTTTACATCTCATTGATGGCCATTGGTCTATTTAGACGAGTCATACTGTATAACGTCGATGATTTTGAAGCTTCTTTTCTATTAATCGTGTCAGGTTTCTGTACTAGACAGCGCCAGAAATTAATCAAAACTTTCCCGTGACATATTTGTTATATAAGAAATGTGCAATCTTATATTCTTTATATATTAAAACACAATTTTGCATATATTTGTTCATAGTTTGTATTATAATTGACACATCATTTATGGCTGATATAGTAGGCTATGATATTGTGAGAATATAGAGCTCACAGTTGAGGGGGGAAACAGCTTAATTATATTCAGAAGCCCAAACCAAGCAAAATATGCAATTTGATGCAGTTATTTATATATGGCCAAAAAGATGGATGGAATTCTGCATGTAATGTAAATCAATGAGATCTTCAAAACAGACTACTTACATAAAATGCATATAAATATCAGTTATCTCACTATATCGCTATCGCTATATTTTAATACTGTATATCTTATTAAGATGATATTTAAATGCTTTAATCGAAGCTCTGTAGATTTCATTGTAGGGGGCAAAGCATATAATGTCTTCAATACAATAATGATTGAGAGATGAACATAAACGCTCCTCAAAGCCTGTAGTATCATATTTGATACTTAAATTTTCATGCATGTTTTCCTTTCTTAAAAAAAAAAATGTATGGGTAATCAAATGAACCAATAGTAAGATAATCACTAAAGTTGCTTCAGTCCAGTAAATGTTCATCTCGAAATATTACTAACAATATAACAAGTTATTCTTAAATTTACTTTATGAAAATATAAACATAAATATGCCTTTATTTGCTAATAAAATAAAATAAACTAACAATCAGACGACAGAGGGCATGATTGGGTACAATAAGTTTCTGCAAAGTTTTGATCATGCTGATATTTTAGAGGCCTTAGAAATTTACATATCAAACATGATACTGCAAGCTTTATAGGGTTAGTGGACTTATTGCATTCCTGGGCTCATTCACAGCAGGGATCTTGTGGTGACAGCTGAAAAGGAAATAAATTACATTAATTTAGTGTTGGCATAAACATTTTGTAAGTGAGAATTATGTCTCATTAAAAAAAAGAATCACAAAAACGCCAGAAAGTTTTAAGATAATGTTATTTTGTCAAACCGCATAGAAAAAGCTGCGGTTTTAAAAATAACCGCGTTCGTGTGGACAGGGACCCAGATAGCACAGGTACGTCTGCAAGATGTCTGTTAAAGACCGCTTCATCAGGACAGCATCTGCTGTGTACAGTCATCTGAAAGACGTCTTTAAGATATCAGTTTTACATACATTCTAAATGATAAACATCTTAAAGACATTTTTTAAACACAGAAAGTTTTAAGATAATGGTATTTTATTTCTCTTTTTTTGTGTATGTTTTTTTTGGGGAAAAAGAAAATGTTGCAGCAGACAAAAACATATACATTGTGACAGATTTGTGACAACATTCAGCATACAACAAATTGCAATTTTCAGCATGTTGCCATAACGTTGTTAGAAGGCTGTCACATCACGTTACAAGTTTTGTGGTTGCATTTATTTTGCCCACTTACAGTTATATTGCTTACACTAACATTTTGCACATCCAAAATGTAAAGTATATCCTTATATGAATGGACAATTTGTTCAAACTAATACTGAATGGGGTTCAGCTTCATTCACTGAGGCCCCCCATTGTGCACCTCCCCCCACTCTTAAGGGAATGGTACACTCCAAAGACACGGAGCATGTGAATCAAAATGAAAACACCGAGTGCCATCAGACAGACAAACAAACGCTAGAAAGAGAGGAAACCTGAGGGATGCCAAAAATGCAGGCAAATGCTAATACCGAATCAGTACTATAGGCTTTCCATACTATAGGCTATAGTGACACATCGGTTGTCTTATTAGATCACAGACCAGATTCTGAATGCTTCGGAACGGGGAAAAACCTTCGCCACAGAGGATGCTAAAACAGAGTTATCAGCGCTTCGTCTAAGCAGTGAAAACCACTTATCTCGAGCTGTCACAACGGTAAGTTTTGTGGTGTTTTATTGTCCAGATTTTTGCGCTGTTTTTGTAACCAAAGAAGTTTTCAAACCTTAATATATCGCGAAAAAATAATTCAAGATGTTTTACTGATGATACTAAACACTGGAAGGTTGTATGTTGGAGGGTTTGTTCAGTCCTTTGTCCACAATGCGTTTGATTTACGGTTGCCTGGATTACAATGTTAAAATGAAGTATCACAAGACAAAAGAGCTTTTTAGAGTATTGTCTCGAATATTTTTTCACCATTTATATCTATATGTGATAAGTTTTTGGCAGCGGATTCGTTGTCGCTCATTATTCAGCCCATTGTGTGCGTGCGTGTGCTCTTTTGTTTCTCGCGCTGTATACATTGTATATGTGGCTGTTTTTGTCCAATGCTGTGCATAACAGCTGAGTACTGTTGTCATGTCATGGGAGCAGCAAAAAGCTGCTATCACAATAGGCACTGCTATAGTTCTTGGTTGTGCACAAACGTTTTTCACGCACACTTATTAACGTATCTCGCCGTGAAAACAAGCGGGATTGATCTCCTGCTCGATTGCTGTGGAACGAGTCACGTGTTCCTCACGACAGAACTCTCTTATTGTATTACTAACTAGTTACTGTTGTAATCCTGTACCAACACTTTACCAATAACATTTCTGGATGAACGATTCACAACCATTACATTATATTAAATTTGAGTTGACTGTATAGTTTTATAGTAACAAAACTAATTATGGTTTTGTTAGTTGTTGTTTTTTTTTCGACTTTTGTTTACTGATTACTGGTACTGATATATCTTTGGAATACTTTAGGACTGATATCTATTAGATGTGTGTGTGTGTTTTTATAAACGGAGTTTTTCCTTCTTCCGTTTAAAAAAAAACCTCCGTCCACATGAAAACGCAAACGCATGCTATGAAGCACTGTCAAGAGCATGCCAAACCAACAGGTGGCGATATAATCTCATCCGTAAAGCCATGTTGGCCAGTCAGAAGCCACATCGTGACGTAGACATGTGGGGGCGTGTTTAAATGAGGCGTTTTAGGAGGGCGTGGACCAGTCTT